TATATATATATATATATATTGTTATGAACAATTACTATAACTTGTTCTCCTATATGAGATATATTAGTGCAAGTATAAATAGTTTTTACAAGAATATTTTTTATACTTAGTGTCAAACATTATATATACATAAACATTAGTATATCTATCAAAATTATCACAACAAGTAAATTCTATCAAAATTTCGCATATTTCAAATAAGCATGATTTCACGAAAAATTATATTCTATTTTTTTTCATTTTTAAGGATAAAGTCTGTATTTTGAAAAAAATTTTGAATAGATTTTGAATTTATCTTCCCCTATCTTCATTCTCTTAAAAAATAAAGATGTGTTACATCTTCAAAAAATTGCATAATTTGACGCACTCTACGAGATGGAATGAATTTTTTTTTTTGTAAATATGGTAATCATCTTAAAATATGGACTTTTCCTGCAAATTAGAATAAAAGAAAGTTTATTATGATTCTTCGCGTAATTATGGTGTATTTATCTGTGCATTTTCATCAGTTGTACCATGCGTGCGTGTGTGTAGTAGAAAGAGGAATATATATACCTTCGTATTTAAAATTACGTATTCCGAAGACGAGATGGATATTATATATATTAGACGGATATTCATATACAGTTTTAGGTATATATGAAGATACATCTCTCTACTCAACACGCGCGTGCGCGCGCATGCACGCACACACGCACGCACGCACGCACGCACGCACGCACGCATGCATGCATGCATGCATGCACGCACGCACGCACGCACCACGCACGCACAATGCGCAAAATCCGCGTGATATACGTCGGATAATATTAATGCTGGCGATAACTGAAAGAAATGCATAGATTACCTTGATATATCACGAAATAGAATCGTAACGAACTTACTTTCTTTGTGATTTGCAGGACAAATCTATTTTATGATATAACCACTTGTAAAAAAATACTTGTAAAAAAATTAATTTCACGCATTAAAGTGTGTCAAATTACAATTTTTTGGAGATATAATGCGTTTTTATTTTTTCAGAGACAGAGGAAGAGGAGGAAATTCAAAATCTGTTAAACGTTCCTTAAAGTATGGGATTTTACTTTTGAAAACGAAAAAAAATTTTTAATACAACATTTGCTAAGTTAATTTAAAGTTTTAGAAATTTTATAAAATATATTCGTTGTGATAATTTTATTAACGACTGTATTAAATAAAGCATTGGAGTGCTCGTACATTATCCGGTAAGTGTGATACATATATTAAGATATTGAATAGTCAAGTAGATGATTAATATATTATGTAATAATGCTGTAATATTGCATTAATAAATAAACTTATATACATAATATACATATATTACTCCTGTCTAGATCTGGTCGGAATGTGAAATAAAAATTTGCAACTAAACTAAAACATTCTATTTTTGCACAGTGCATGAATTGTTCGCAACTTTGGACTTACAAGCACAAGCTTTGGGACCAAAACGAAGGTAGTATACCTACCTTTATTACTTACGGTATCATTTAACACGTTAAGCGCCATAAAACTTTTGTCTACTGTATTGAAAGATAATGTGTAATATAAAAAGCATATATGAGAAAAATATATAACAAATATTTGCGTATGTAAATATAATAAAATAAAATATGAAATATTTTATAAAATTGCAGAGATAGTTGAACAAATATTTATTTTTATTTATACACACATTTTATTTATTTATTACATTAATTTTTTATTAATAAAATTAGTAGTTTCTAAATGAGAAAATTGAAAAAAATATTTAGGTTGTTTCTTAAAATTTATTAAGTTTATAATTATTTTTAATTATTATATAATTGTAATTTTTTTATTATAAAGTTTATAAACATTACTCTCCGAATTTTTGGAAAATTACGTTTTTAATCGTGGCGCTTAACTTGTTAAAATTTAGGAGTTTTTACATTTATGTTTTTATTATGGTCAATTGTTTTATATGCAGTAATTTGAACGGTTTTTATAATCTTGAATTTTTATTTTATATTCCACCAAAGTATATATTACAAAAAATATAATGTTCACATATATTTATAATAAATTTCTTAATATAGAGCAGAACATTTATGTGTTTTTAAAAGCAAATAATTTAATCATATTAATTTTATCATCAATTTTCCTATTTCTCTTGTATAATATTGCTCTATTTAAAAAATGGCGCTTAACGTGTTAAGGAATGTGCGAATTAATCGAAAATTAATATTAATATAATAATTTTAATAACAAATTTCTTAATCCACATATAACTTAAATTTATGTATTGTTGATATATCTTACAAATTGATAAATAATTATTTTCTTATCTTCTATTATTAGTTTTTTATATACATTTTTAACTTTTCATATATACAATTTTACATGATTGAATTAATGCATTTATTCATTATTATCTATAACAAAACTTACAATCCCATAATTGTGATAATAATCTTTTTATAATTAATATTTATATGTTTATATGTTTATAATTAATATTTATATTAATATTTATAATATTTGAGATTATTCTATCTTAAAATGTATTGAATTTACCTACTTTCATAATTAACGTATATGGACTAATGAAAACATTCTACATACATTATTATAGGCATAATAAAAGCTTTATGTCCTTTTTTTCTTTGTAAATTTATTAGTAACAAATTATTAACAATTACATAATAAAATTTCTAAATAATAAAATTACATTTTATATAAAAATTTTTTTACTAATCTAGAAATCTAGAAATATGTTATATATATGTTGGAATTTTTTCAATACGTTATAAATTGTACAATGTATTTATATTTTAATACTTTCATACTGGATTTATATAAATAATTAATGATTTATTATTTTTTTTTGAAATATTTTATTGAAATATTTTTCAGAAATGGACTATATTTATCGTAAATAATATATGTGTGATATAGTCACATGGTTTAGTCTGGAATGTGCATGTAGTTATTTTTATATAACATACAAACATCTTTCTTGCAGACAAATATCTAGATACTAAGAATAATGGGCAAGCTGAATCAACGCATTTATAGATCATCACTGGGCCTCCCCTGATAATATGCTGTATATCTGGTACATAATTTATTTTCATGATTTTATTATTCTTTTTTTTGTAACTTGATTTGATAATCAATTTAATCTGGCTTTATATAAATGATTATAATTTTCTATTCTGTAATAGTTAATTTTTTATATATACAGGATGTCTTACCGTACAGTACATTTCACAATATATTCTAGAGATAAAATAAAGTAAAAATCCTAATATGAAAATGTTGAGACTACAATAATTTTTTGAATTATAAGCTAACTTTAACTACTTATAAGTCAAGAACTATTTTACTTTTATAGTTTCTACTATTATGACTGGATTTTTTGAAAAAAGACGAAAATCTAAGACGAAAATCTTAATACGAAAATATCAAGGCTAAATTTTTTTAATTACAAACTATCTTTGATTAATTACAATTCAAAAACTATTGTAGCTTTGACATTTTTGTATTAGAATTTTTACTTTTGGAATACGTTGTAAGAATAGTGTATGGTGATTGTGAGACATCCTGTATATACTTATAGTTAAATTATTATACTATGTGTTAAGAAAAACATGTATTGGCATATATTTTAAAAAAGATATGTCACACGTATTTATTAAATTATTTATTTTATAAAGGTACATCAGTCAAAGATACACAGATTAAATTTTGAAATGATTAATCAAATGATTAATTATATTTGAGCCATTTATATATGTACATTTTGTATATTATATACGAACTAATAGTTATTTCTATTTGTAATTTTCATTTATAGTTATCTATTATTTCTATGTATTATATCTATTCTTAATTCTTGACAACTCATGAATACTTACAAAATAATATCAATATCTTTTTATATCAAATAAGATTCAAATTTGAATATTTAGTCTTTGAATTAAATCTTTAAAAAGATTTAAATTTATTTAAGAAATATATGTCAATTGATTTGAAAAGAAATATTGGTCTCTTTTTGGTGTCTTTTTACATAATTAAATTATTAATATTTAAAACGCAATTAAATAATTAAATTGATTATCAATTATCATTTCATACTATTTTTTTATATTGGGTTTATTAAATCATATTTTTTTATGTATAATTTCTACAAGTATTCATCTTTCTTTTTTTTTATGATTTATATTTTATAAGGATGCATGAAAAGTTTTCCCACCCAGGAATATGAAGCTTTTTTTGTTATTTTTATTGTCTTGATTTTCATGTTTTCCCCATGGATGTCATAAATAGAAATGTAACTCACGAAATAATTAAAAGTTTTCTGTTATTTCTATTATTTAGACATTTTTAACAATTACAAAATTTATATAAGGGTCTAATTTAAATAAAATAATGTCTTTAAATAGTTAGACAATAGAATATATAGTTTAGGCTTGATATTCCTATTACTAGAATTTATTTATTATTAGAATTAATACTTACAAAATTATTTTTTACAAATCTTTATTAATTGGAATGAAAAAATCATATTGTGCAAATAGTTAACAACAAAATTTAACATCAAAACAATGTGATATCATCTTTTAGACTGATGAAGCTTGCCTATAAATCTATGTGCGGAATGTAGCATAACTAATAGACTTTATGTATATTTATTTGAATGTATGTTATATGGACATGGTACAATATGCATGTATTTACAGATTATATTGTAATTGGAATAGAATGAACGCATACTTGATTTTATTTATGCAATTTAATTATATGATTTGGTTTGTAAATGTATAATTTTATTTGTTTATATATTTTGCTTTACATATTTGTCAGTTTGAATGGATATATTGAAAATTAAATAAACAAGATTTCAAGATGCGTTATGCATAATGCTTGGTGTTGTACAATATTATTGTTGCTTTAAATTTTTTTATTACATAATAAATTTTAACATTTTTAGCTATAAATAGATTATAGATGCTTGAAAGATTGCTAAAATATTGCTTATATATATATATCTGTTAAGTCTTCGTTAATGAATATATATTAGTTGAGTGTGTCTACTATCTTTTTACTTTAGAAATCATATTATATAATGCTATTATTATATAGGAATAAGAATCTTCTTTATATTTAATGTTAAGCATTTAAATACTATTTAAATGTTATTTTTTTTATAATTGGAGAAATATATGTATAATATATACGTATATATTTTATATACATATATACAGAGTGAATCTTAATAAATATCTCAACGTTTTATCATGGAAATAAATTACCGACTGTAATACGTAAGAGAGAGTAAATTATCGACTGTAACACGTAAAAGAGAGTAAAATTCATGTATAAGAAAGTGAAATATATCTTTTAAGGTAAAACGCAAGATATTCAAGTGCATTCAGAACGACAATAAGCGCTCACTAAGCGTTCAATGAGCGGTTGTTGTTCTGAATGCATACATTTTCGGCCCGATCGAGTTTGCACCAACCTGGGTTGAAGTAATGATGTTTCGTGCTCTCCTATTGGTAGAGCATATAACATCAACTAATAGTGAAGCATTTTCCAACCCAAATTGATGTAAACCTAATCGGGCTGAAAACGTTATAAATTTCACTCTGCACACACATACACACACGCGCGCGCGCGCGCGCGCACACGCACACACACAAAATTAACTAGCTCCCATAAAAATATAAGAATTTTTCGAATAAAAAATAATCTTAACACAATAGCGTGTATGAATGTATATAATGTTTATCATATATTTATATGCAGAGTAGAATAATAACTTTTATCTGGAATTTCTTCTATTTTTAGAGATATAAAAATAATTATGAAAATTGTATAATATCAAGTTAATTATAATATGCTAATAATAATTTTTCTGTGAATGAAGAAGCTTCGGAAAATTTAAGGTTGTCTCTTTTTTGTATATTATATGATTTTTTTACATAATTGATTTTTCTTATTCTGCATATAAATGTATATTAAAGTAGAATTATTAATGGTTTACGAGATACTTTATATTTTATTCTAACACATTTTGGAAGTACAAAATATATCGTAAGCTATTCATTTTTGATAACTATATCTTAATACTTTTATGCACAGAATTATGAGATAAGTTACTTGGTGTAAAGAAAATATAATTTCTCTTAAAAAGAAATTTATGCAATTTGCAACATTATATATTTTTTTTTGAAAAACAACAATGCATTTTATTTACATCAGTTCATTATTTGGCGCACAAAAATGTTAAGGTACAATTGTAAAAAATTAATAATTTACGAGATATTTTATGTTAAAATGTGCCAAAATATCTCGTAGTACTGATCTTTTAATTATTTAATTCTATTTTTGATGCTTTCATATTCAGAGAATAACTATAAGAATATTAAATTTAAAAAATCTTATAATACCATTTAAAAAATGGAGGTTAATGCATTTTCGAAGCGTTTTTATTCAGAAAAATTATTACTTGCATATTATAACTCTCTTGAGTTATACTACACAACTTTCGTAAAATATTTTCATATCTCTAAAAGTAGTGGAGATACTTTAGGTGGACAAAGCTTCATTCTGTATATTTAACAGCAGACTTTTTCTATCTGGAATTGCATATTATATAATAAGATATATTGATAATTTATACTATTTTCAGGTGGAAGTCTTTCCGATTCAGAATGTATTTGCAACGACGCAGTTAACAGCGAATTACAAAATGATACAAACACTATATTAGAATTTAATAGACATGTGGAACCATCTGACTAGATTTTTGTAGGGTCTTAATAACTTTAAATAAGGTATGAATGTATTGTTACGAATGTATAGTATGATTCTATCAAACATAAATATTTGTTTTTATGATGTAAAATGGTTATTGATACAAAGGTACATGTATTATGTGCATTTGCAAAGAAAATTTTCATATAATCATAGTAAAAAATAGAATATCTTCAGAGAGATAATCGCAACGGTTATCACCGTTAATAATGTACAGTACAATAGATTTGCAAACAATGAAGTAAATAATGAATTAGAGTTTAGATGAAAAAAGAGAGAGATGCACTAAATTGTACAATATTTTAAAATGTTATATTTTTTAATAACTCGTATTGCAAATTTATGTAATCATCACATAATAGGCTCAAATTGTATAAATAATCTATGCGATAAGGTTATGTCAATAAATAATTTAGATAGTATAAAAGATATATAAATATTAATTGAGTACTGACTTTAATTTATCAGATATTTTCGTAGTTTGCTTTAGCATTAAACTAAAAATACTAACATTTGGATGATTTCTCTCAAGAGATATTTTCAACAATACTATATAAATCTAATTTTTTATATATAAAGGTTATAACAATTATTATTATTACAATTTGAATAAGTCAAAGACATGTATAGGTACAAATATTTGAATATAATCATAAACATAATATTGTATTTTTTCTTGAAACGTTAGAATATATATTTGGACATTTTTTTTTTTTTTCAGAAACAAAATATATATTAGGTGCAGTAAAAAGGAATCCATTATTTTTGCATGAAATTGAATGGAAAAATAATGGATTTCTTTTTACTACACCTAATATTACAATTATAATATATAAATTATAATATATATCTAATAACCAAATATAATTAATGTAAATATTGTAAAACAAATCAGAATTAACTATCTCTTTCTTCCAGTGATATAA